ACCCCAAAACTTATCTCGATGGGTCAGTATTAGGAGGAAGGGGAGCGGGGGAGAAGAGGGGGAGGAAAAAGAAGAGGAGAGGGAGGAGGAAGAAGAGGAGGAGGAAGTAGAGGAAGAGGAAGAAGACGAGGAAAAGAAGGAGGAAGATGTGGAAGAGGAGGAGGAAGAAGAGAAAGAGCAAGTGGAGGAGGAGGAAGAGGAAGATGAAGTGGAGGAGGAGGAAGAGGAGGAGGAAGATGTGCAGGAGGAAGAGGAGGAGGAGGTGGAGGAAGAAGAGAAGAGGAAAGGAGAAGTGGGAGAGGGAGGAGGTGAGGAGAATGAAGGAAGAAGAGGAGAAGGAAGAGGAGGAGGGGAAGGAGGAGGAGGAGGAGGAGAAGGAGGAGGAGGAGGAGGAGGAAGAGGAAGAGAAAAGGAGGAAAGGTAGAAATGCCTTCAAGCTTAATTGCTTCTTCAGGGTTCAACCCAACTCTGGCCTGGAAAATCCTACCTGTCTGTATGGCAGGCTTAGTGATCTTAGAGGAAACCTCTTCCCATACAATGTATAAAAATGATACATGTCACAAGAATAATGAATACGTAGACTTGACCTACACTCACAAGCAGGAAGGGAATACGCAGCAAAGTTCTTCCACCAGGAAGAAATGCAGGTCAAGGTGTTGAGCGGAAAAGGAAGCCAACATGAGATTCAGAAGTGGGTGGAGTGTCTACACACAGCTCCCATGGGGACATGGTCGCACAGCCACTGAACTTGAATAGGGGCACCCTGCCCATCTGCTTTACTCTTGAGAAGCAGAAACAAAAAAACAAAAAACAAAAAAGACCCTGAGGAAATGTAAGCCTCAAGCCCATCCCATGAACTGGGGGTTTGAATGAATCTTTTTTTTTTTTTGGCCAGACCTGGGGCTTGAACTCAGGGCCTGGGCTCTGCCCCTGAGCTTCTCTGTGCTCAAGACTAGCGTTCTACCACTTGAGCCACAGTGCCACTTTCTGGCTTTTTCTGTGTATGTGGTGCTGAGGAATGGAACCCAGGAGCTTCATGCCGGCTAGGCAAGCGCTCGACCACTGAGCCGCGATGCCAGGCCCTTGAATGAATCTGATCCTGGGGATCAGGCGTTTCCCGAGACAGACGCTCCAGCACTGTTTTGCAAACCGCAGAGCCTCTCTCCTCAGCACTCTTCACAGATTCCTCCTCCATTCCCAGCCGCTTCTCCCTCTACCCGCCTCCAAGGATTGTCTATTCATGTCGCACGGTCACTGTGCCCTCAAAGACAAGCTCTCCCTGACTTCCGTGTCTCCATTCTGACGACTTTTCTAAGCAAAATGGCTTTCCCACATCCTCCTCTTGTCTCTCGGGTTTCAGCTCAGAAATCTTCCTCCTCAGCCGGCCCTGGCTGACGGCCCAAACACCCAGAGTAAGGCACAGCAGCAGCCTCTCCTCGGCCTTTCACTCCCAGCAGCGACATCTTTCTGCCATCTGGTATGGATGCATGGGTTCGGGTCCGTCTGCCCACCAGCCCCTGAGTTCTGGAAGCGTCCTGACTCATCCTTCTCACCCTCCTCCTCCACGACAAGCGGAGAGAGGCAGACACGCACTCAGCTTCAAGTCCTGGCACCGTCTGTTGCTAAGGAACGGTGTCACCTCCCTGGGCCTTAGCATTCCTTCCTTCTAAAAGGAGTGGTACGAACAGGGGTCTCGGTGGACGTAACGGCATCATTCATCAGTGAACGCTTTCCTGCCCGCTAGGTTCATATTCTGAGCCTCACACTGCAAGGTCAAGGCCCGCCACCATTATTGCTCACCATGAGAACATGGAGCTTGAGAGAGGGTCTTTCTTCACTTATTTGACAGATTCTCTTTTCAGCGCCTAACACAGACCTAGCACCGTGCAGCGAGGTAGAGCCAAGACATATCTAGTTATTATTCAGTGAGAGTTGGTGAAGGAAGATAGGATTCAGATTCAGCCAAATCAACATTCCCAGAGAAGCCAGCTACCTGGTCCGCACGCTGCTCTGGGGACATTCATCCTCAACTGTGACACACCACAGCTCCTCCATCTAAGCATGCATAGCGCCCTGCCTCCTGAATGTCTGCCATCTGGCCGTATAATCCATGTAAAAAGAAAACCTGTGTTCCACAGGCAGGGAGAAGACAACCACACTGCTGATAATGTGGACTGAACCAAACACAGTGATGATGCACTCCGCTGAACCCCGGGGTGAGGGTTAACATTAAATGAAGTTGCATCCTAACCTCAGATCCCTGACATGACTTCAAATACGTTCCAGAAATCCCACTATAAAACAGTAGCCCATGGAAAAGCTATTGGGCACTCGAGAGATTACTTATCACAGAGCCATGTGATTAGAACGAGAGTGGACGTCATGAAACCATGCATAAAACTTGGCACATAATTTGCAAAGCATAAAAGACTCACATGCAGATAACAAAAACCTGATCAGAAGTCTTAATTTGCAATCTATTTAGCCTCCAGCAATACTTGATCCTCTCGGGGGAAAACAAAACATGGTTCTTCGCTCGCAAAAAAGAAAAACCAAATCTGACAAGTGAAAAACAGCCAGGCCCCAAAATTCCACTGCCGATATTTAAAAAAAAAAAAAAAAAAAAAAAAGCAGGCAGTAAAAGTTAGGGAAAGCAGCACGGAATCCTGCAGGTGCACATCATTTCCAAGAAGGAATTATAAATGAGAACTCCATTATTGTGTGTGTGTGGGGGGGCAGGGGAACCAACCATTCTGCTTATACAAAGACAGATCAACTCAGATTTGGATTCATGAGAGGCACTCTAGGCCATGTTTTGGGTCAGGTTTTGGGTTTTTTTCCCCCCTGGGACCACTTCTTGGGCACCTGCCAAAGGTGGGGCTTGGTACTGACACCCATCACCTGAAATCTCCAGGATGGCTGTATGAAGGAGGTTCCTACAGCTCACCTTTGACCTTTGGGGAAGCTAAGGCTATGACGGACAGGTCAGACAGCCTATAAGCAGATGCCAGAACCAGGTCTGGCTGGACCCACAGCTCCAGCATGGTTTCCAGGCCACCAGGATGCCTGTCCCTGCTGACAATTGCATCCACAGCCCCACGTGACACAGCAGGCCCTCCCTCACGGGAAGGAAGCACTGTCCCCAAGCAGGGTGGTCTGTATGAGTTCAAGGTAGCATCACCCGAGACACAAACATTCCAATTCAAATCCTGCTCGGGGCTGGGAAGGTGGCTCAGTGGTAGAGTGCTTGTCTTGCATGCATGAGGCCCTGGGTTCGATTCCTCAGCACCACATAAGCAGAAAAAGCTGGAAGTGGTGCTGTGGCTCAAGTGGTAGAGTGCTAGCCTTGAGCTGAAGAGCTGAGGGACAGCGCCCAGGCCCAGAGTTCAGGCCCCACAGCCAAAAAAAAAATTCAAATCCTGCTCATTTTTTAAAAATATTTTAATCATTTCTGCAAAGTTGTGTGTGTGTGTGTGTGTGTTTAAGTTACTGCTGTTGCTTCGTTAAGGTAATTTTTGTTTGTAGGAGTCTATTGTGTAGTTCAGATTGTCTTGAACTCACCTCACCACCCACCCGCCTTCTTCCCTTGAGTACTGGGATTACAGGTGTCCGTCACCATGCTCAGCTACAAAACCCTGCCATTTGTATTACTCGTCAATCTTCTCAACATGCCCTTCTGAATAGGCTCAAATAGGCTCCCAGCTACCTCAGCATGCACACGGACAGTCAGCTGGCTGGTTCCTTTTTCCAGTTGTGCCAGCTTGGTGTCAAAATCCAGAAACAACAGTGAATGCCCTTCGCAAGAGGCAAAAGGCCTGCTTTTCACCTTCTAAGGCTGAGGCAGGAAGGGGCTCTCCTCACACCCAGGATCTCAGAGCAGTGTGTGAATTCCCGCCCAGCCCAGAACTAACTACAGCCATCAGGAAAACGAGGAATGCCACCCCAGAACCCAAAAGAGAGCTTAATTCCAGATGCAGGGTCAAGAATAAACATGGGCCAGCAGGTGGGTGGGGGGGAGAGGTAGGGGGAGGGGGAGACCTCAGACTCAGAGAGTCTGAGACCTGAGGATCGTGGTTCGAAGCTAGCCTGGTCAGGAAAAGTCCAGGAGACTCTTATCTCCAACGAACCACCAAAAAGCTGGGAAGTGGAGAAGTAGGAGAGCATTAGCCTCGAGCATAAAAGCTCAGGGACAGAACCTAGGCCCTGAGTTCAATCCCCAAGACCAACACAAACATGCACACACACACACACACACACACACACACACACACACACACTAACAAACGAATAAGTTAAGACAGACTAGGTACTCTAGTAGGCACATGATCCCATGTGACCCCCCCACACAAGGGTCCTGTGCAGTCCTACCACAATCATTCTGACTTGATAACATAGGAAACAGAGGCCAGGCCCATCCCCCAGGCTACACGCGGAACCTGCAAGCCCAACTAAGGCCCGGGTGTCTGGAAGACATTACTCAATCTCCTAGAGGAAAAAAAAAAGTCTTTCTAGTAGAGGAGCGATCAGACCTGGTCTCCTCTTTCTGTAACATGGGGACCAAGGACACACACTGCTGTCCCAGAGTTAGGGGGAAGGCTGGATGAACGGAAGAGTATGAAGAGCTGGCCCCATGTCTGGCAGACCTGCCATCACAACTGTCACCAGTGCCACTTCTTACAGGGTCATTGGCCCTTAAAGTCTTTAAGGATTAAAAAATAAAGGAAGCCAGGTGCTGGTGGCTCACGCCTGTCATCCTAGCTACTCAGGAGGCTGAGATCTGAGGGTCACGGTTCAAAGCCAGCCGGGGCAGGAAAGTCCGTGAGACTCTTACTGCCAATGAACCACTCAAAAACTGGAAATGGTGCTGTGGCTCAAGTGGTAGAGCGCTTGCCTTGAGCTGAAGAGTTCAGGGACAGCACCTAGTCCCGGAGTTCAAGTCCCATGACCAACCAAAAAAAAAGTAAATGAGGCTCTCTTGTTCAACAAGGGCCGGGCCATACCTTCTCTTCTGAGGAGACAGTCAGCTTGTCGCTGGAGATCAAGCTGCACACCTGGTCCAGAGTTAGGCTAAGAAACTCTTCCCCCAGCATCACCTCTGGGAAGTGCTGCTCTGTTCCAAAAAGAAAAAGAAAGAAGAAAGAAGAAGAAGAAGAAGAAATTAAGAAAACAAAGTTATAGCATACCTTGGCTCTCCCACAAGCCAATGCCACGATGACCTACAGGGCTCAGTGTGGAGGCTTGGGGGGGAGGAGGGAGGGAGGGGAGTGGAGGACCACTGAGAGATGAGAGGAAGACAGAGGCATTCTAGCTGGAGGGAAAGCTGGCCTTTTAATTCTACAAGGCAGATGCGTACTGCCCCGCGTGGTCCTCTGACCTGAACGATGACACCGAGATCCAAGTTTGTGTTTTTTTCCACGCTCCTTGAGATTAATACTGCCAAGGGAGAAAGGCCTGCAAGGAATCCACCTACACAACTGAACCCGAGCACAGTGCCCCCTACTGCCTGGCCGAACAAGGAGTCAGAGCAGGTGGAGGGAAGGAACTGTCTCTGGGGTTCTTGTAGGACGTCAACACTGTCAGAAGATGGACCATCCCTTCTTGCCCAATGTGGAGTCCATGGCAGTGAGTCCCTGAGCGCTTAACTACTACCACCACCAGGACCACCACCACCCTCACCACCACCCCCACCATCACCTTCAACATCACCATCAGTACTGCCACCACTACCATCATCATCATCACCAACACCCCCTCTACCGTGATCATCACCACCATCACCAACACCATCACCACCACTACCACCTCTACATGAACATCACCACCACCATCTCCACCAACACTGCCACCACTATCGCTGTCACCACCGCCATCAGCACCAACACCATCTCTACCGTGATCACCAACACCACCATCACAACTACCACCTCTACATCAACATCACCACCACCACCATCACTACCACACCACCAACACCACAATCACTACTACTACCACTAGCATCACCATTATCATCACCTCTACCACCACCACCACCATCACCATCAACACCATGCTGTTCCTAGGTGCCAAGCTGAGCCAGCCATTTTATGAGGCAATTCACCCTGAGTCAGAGGATCGTGTTTCTAGAATATTTTCTTGAACTTGCCTGCTGCCCTTAATTACTTCATTTCGTGATCTCGGCTGACAATCAGTAGAAAGAAAAAAAAAACAGAACGGGCTGCCTCGGCTCCCCGAGCACATGAAAGCGATGGCTTTTCCATCCCGCGGCTGTGAGGTTTCGGCTCAGCACTGGCAGGCCAATGTAAACAACATGTCCAAAGAATTTTAATTGCCATTTCATTAATGAGGTCCCATTACCACCCCTCCCAACCCGCTCTGCTGATGGCCGGGTGCATGCCTGCCCAATTACAATAAAAAACCAGGTCCCCATAAACTTGGCCCTGGCGTCTGAGGTTAAAGATTAAGTAGTCCTCGGAAAGAATGATAATGAGGGGACGATAATAAGGCGCAGGCTATGGAGGAGGTGAGGGTCCCTTTCCCTGCTTCTGGAGAGCCGAGAGGACTGGGCTGGAGTCCGCTTGGATGCAGGGGCTGACCGGGACCTTCCTCTTCCTCCATCAGGAGAAGTCTGGGGCCGGAGGACGCAGAGGGGCTGTCACAGCCAGGGAGATGGGCATTCCAAAAACAATGGAAAGAGCTGACGCTCTAGCATACACAAGGGCCTTTAAAACAAAGTCGCTTTATTTTGTAGACAGAGAAATTTGGCAGTACTCTTTTCTCCCCCCAGTGCTGGCGACCAAACTCAGAGCTGTGTGTGTGCTGGTGAGCACTCCACCATTCCGGCCAATCGCCAGCGCCTCAAGCCTATAATCCTAGCCACTCAGGAGCTGAGAGCTCAGGGCAGTGGTTCGAAGCCAGCCTAGGCAGAAATGTCCACCACGAATCTCTTGCTAATTAACCAGTTAAATAAATAGTAACAAAAACTCTGTTCTGCTAATCATGGTGGGCTGAAGGTTCAAGCCCATTTCTTCTGTCTTCCAAAGATCCCCTTAAAATAACAGCATGACAAGCTCTAGCAAGGGAGCGTGTCTCCCGGCAAAATACATGGAATCAAAACATCATCAGACAGAGATGGGTCCTTTGGTTGTATCTGCCGACAAGAATTCAGTGGTCTTGTCCAAAAGTAAAAGGCACTTATCTGCTGCCTTTAATTTTTTTATTCCAGTCAAAGCAACTAATCATAATATGTGACTTGGCTCAGCTGTGACAGTGACCCAGGGTGATCAAGCAATTTAGAGTACACCCGTGAGAAGTCTGAGGGAGGCCAAGGCTCAGTCTTACACAGAAGTCAACTCACAACACCAAAAATAAAAGCATCAGAAATTGACAGTATATATGAATTGCCTACATAGGTAGAGGTAGAGGGCTGGGGGTGTAGCTCTGCGGTAGAGCACATACATAGCAGCACCGAGAGGGAGGGGGAGAAGGGAAGGAAGGGAGGAAGGGAGGCTGGGGGAAGGGAGGGAGGGAGGGAGGGAGGGAGGGAGGGAGGGAGGGAGGGAGGAAGGGAGGAAGGGAGGAAGGAAGGAAATCACAGGTGACGAGGCTTTTGGCTGACCCAGAGCCTTCATTTCTACTCTTTTAGGACTGAGAGTGTGGAAAGCAAGGCTTCGTGTGAGGAGAAGAGCAGGCACTTCCTTTATCACGGAAGCCTGATGACCACAGGACCCGTCTTGTATTCATAGAACGGCATAACCAAAATAACTGTCTTTTTATTTAGTTTTTATTTTTATTTTTTTGTCAGTCGTGGGGCCTGAACTCTGGGCCTGGGCGCTGTCCCTGAGTTCTCCAGCTCAAGGCGAGCGCTCTACCACTTGAGCCACAGCGCCACTTCCAACGTTTTTTCTGTGTATGTGGTGCTGAGGAATCAAACCCAGGGCCTCATGCATGCAAGACAAGCTCTCTACCACTGAGCCACCTTCCCATGGGGCCTAATTAACTACCTTACAGCTGCTCCCCAGCAGAGGGCGCCTCTCAGAACCTCTGAGGTGACGGCAGGAGGCCGGCTGACCAAATCCCGCAAGCCCAGGGGGGTGCGGGTCCCGGCTCCCATTACCTGCATAGGCGTTCGCCTGCTGCAGAAGGTCGGTGCAGGTGTGCACGTCAGCAAAGGCGCGGATGCCCAGGCAGTTGGTGGGATGCAGCTGAGACTGCAGGAAGTCACAGCAGTTCTGCCGCACGTCCATGAGCTGCAGCAGGCTGGCCGCCGGGAGCAGCACCTGCGGGAGAAGGTGACACCCTGAGACTCTAGGTCCCCCTAAGAGCACGGCTGTGTGCATGCTGCCTCGCCCCCAGGCTCGTGGCTCTCCACTCCTGGCCGGCATGATGTCCATGTGGCCCAGTCGGTCTTCCGGCCTTCTTGCCCACTCCTGTCCTGTACCTGAGCTGAACCCGGCGATCCACTGCACATGAGGGCTACTCAGGAGATCTGAGATCCCAGCAGCAGCATGAGTCAAAATCAGCCCAGACAGACAAACCCAAGACTCTTACTTCCAATTCAATACCAGAAGCGGAGGTCTGGCTCAAGTGGTAGTGTGCCAGCTTTGGGTAAATAAGAAAGAGCTCTGCTGGGCGCCGGTGGCTCACACCTGTAATCCTCGCCACTCAGGAGGCTGAGATCTGAGGATCACGGTTCAAAGCCAGCCTGGGCAGGAAAGTCCATGAGACTCTTATCTCCAATAAACCACCAGAAACTGGAAGTGGCACTGTGGTTCAAGTGGTAGAGCGCTAGCCTTGAGCTGAAGAGCTCAGGGACAGCGCTCAGGCCCAGAGTTCAAGCCCCACGACCAACAGAAAGGAAGAAAGAAAGAGAGAAAGAAAGAAAGAAAGAAAGAAAGAAGGAAGGAAGGAAGGAAGGAAGGAAGGAAGGAAGGAAGGAAGGAAGGAAGGAAGGAAGGAAGGAAGGAAGGAAGGAAGGAAGGAAGGAAGGAAGGAAGGAAGGAAGGAAGGAAGGAAGAGCTCTGAGTTCAAGCTCCAGTTAAGGCCTTGAGTTAAGGCCCTGAGTTCAAACCCCAGTATTGACCCAAATACCAGAAAGAAAGGAAAAAAAAGAAAGAAAGAAAAAAAACAGGACTGGCTGAGTACCAGAGCACCTGCCCAGGTGGCATGAGTTCAAACCTCAGTACTGATCCAGGAGCTCTACACTGGACCCAGAGAACCCAGGCAGTGCTGCCGCCTCTGGTCCAAGAACTGCACCGCGATTTAAGAACCCTAGGCAGGTGCATGCACAGGAAGACCCTGCAGCCCTGGGGCTCCTACTGGCTGTGCCCCGGAGTCTCCCAGTGCTCTAAAGAAGGATGTTAAGGTCTCACCTCCACCGCCTGGCCTACACACGGGACGGAAGGTGACCCTGAGCTCCGAGATGTTTCTTGGTCTCCCCAGGAGCTGCTAACGGTCAGCCAGGTGTGGGAACCACAATCTTAAGGCCCTTGGCATACTCCCCTATCTCAGGAAGGCACTGGTCCATTCAACTGCTTGAGTGTCATGTCCCTGTTTGTGGCAGCCACTGGGCTGGGGGCTCTTAAGATTCCACAGAAGGGGCTGGAAAGGTGGCTCAGTGGTAGAGTGCTCACCTAGCATGCACGAAGCCCTGGGTTTGATTCCTCAGTACCACATAAGCAGAAAAGGCCAGAAGTGGTGCTGTGGCTCAAGTGATAGAACACTAGCCTTGAGCAGAAAAGCTGAGGGACAGCGCCCAGGCCCAGAGTTCAAGCCCCAGGACTGGAAAATTAAAAAGATTCCACAGGAGCAAAATAAATCCGACTCTGTTCTTACATAGCTTACCACCTGCCTGCTTAAGAGACTCATCCACAGGACATGCATCGGGTAATCATATTCTAGTCTCCCATCCAACCAATTAAAAAGAAAAGGACGTCTTTGGGTATACTCAAAGAGAGAGAAAGTCTGGGGGTTGGAGGCATGGATCCGGTGGTAGAAAAAGGACATCTGGCTTTATTTTATTCTGCCAGTCCTGGGACTTGAACTCAGAGCCCACGCACTGTACTTTAGCTTTTTTTTTTTTCCCCCTTAAGGCTGACACTCTACAACTGTGCTACCCTTCCACTACTGACCCTCTGGTGTCTAACAGGAGATAAGAGTCTTACGGACATTTCCTGCCCAGGCTGGAGTCCAACTGCCAGCCTCAGATCTCAGCCTCCTGAGTAGCAAGGATGACAGGCATGGGCCACCGGTGCCCAGCGCTGAGTTTCTTTTTAAAGCTCACAGGGGGCACGAGCAGTTTGCCCGTATCCTGAGAGACAGAAGTCGTTCTTGCTCAGGTGTTTTTCCTAAGAGCCAGGAGAGACTGGCCTGAGCAGGCCAGCAGGGCACTCGCTCAGATGGCCAAGCCCTGTGCCAAGACCCTGTCAGGTTTCCCAGGACCTTTCCAGGGTGGCAGAAGCTAGCCCTGCTGATCAAATGTGGGGAAGGCTGCCCCGTCCTTCACACTCACCCCGGCTAACACACGGGCCCAATGATTCTCCGAAGGGAAATTTAGGAGGACTCCTCCCTCCCCAAAAACCTCCCAGAGTAGAACTGTGTGACTTAGATGCTTCACGTGGGTACACCCCACATCTCTTTGCCCTGAACAATCCCCTGGCCAGGCCTCTGATCTCCGCCTGGGGAGAGCGGCTAAGCCGGCCTGGACAGGCTAGGCCCAGGAGGACACGGCCCTGGGCAGTCCTGGGGAGCCCTGGGGCAGGGGAATAACACCTGGTTTCTTTATTCCAGGAATGACATAAGTAGGTTCTGTAAGGGAGCCCTCAGCTCAATCTCTTCAGCCCTGTGTTTCCAAACAAACAAAAAAATCTCCAGCCGGGCACCGGTGGCTCACGCCTGTCACCCTAGCTACTCAGGACGCTGACCGGCAGATGGTGGTTCAAAGCCAGCCTGGGCAGGAAAGTCTGTGAGATTCTTATCTCCAATAAACCACCAAACCACCTTGAGCTGAAGAGCTGAGGGACAGCGCCCAGGCCCAGAGTTCAAGCCCCACGACCACCACCACCAACAAAATCTCTGCCCGCCACCCACCCCCTGGCTTTGGCTCTCCAGCTGTCTGGGAGTCCCTGGGACTTTCCGTGGGAAGCCACAATGGCTGATGGCCATTTATTACCCTGCCCACAGACAGTACCCCCCTCCCCGACTCCCACCATCAGTGCTCATGCTCTGAGGCTCTGCTCATTGCAGAGCCTCCTCCCTACAGCAGCACTATGTCCTTGGAGTTTGCTGCCCACTGATTCATTCCCGAGGGAGAAAATGACAACCATCACCCTTACCTGGGAGGTGCTTGGTTTGGGGGCTCTTTTTGTTTGTTTTGACCATGGTGAACACAACTAGTCCAGATCTCACTCAACACATACACACACACGCATACACGTGTGCGTGTACACACGTGCACAAACACACACACACACCCTCTCCAAGCTCCGTCCCTACCAGGCGGCCATAAACCAGGGAACTCAATTAACCTGGACGCTTCGCGCTCGGCCTGGCCCAGAAGATTCCATGCACAGATTAGTCTCTGCAGGTAGTTAAGTGGAGAGCCATTAACTGTTCTCCTCTGGAACACACACTGGGAGTACAGAGCAGGTCCCCGGTGGCTCCGAGTCCCCGAATGACCTCCTCCAAGTTCAGCGCCTCCCCATCCTTCCCGCACCCTCGCCGGCCCCAGCCACAGAGCCTGGAGCTGGGCCACGGGTGGACCAATCGTCGGAGCATCGCCAGCTTTAACTCTCCATTCTGGGCACCCTAGAGTCGTACTGAATTCACCCCAGGTTGGATTTCTGCGGGTCCAGCACCCCCGTAAGACTGTATCCCCCACCAAGCCCCAGCCGGGGTGTGGCTCAGGTGCCTTCTGCTCCCCAGATCCTCAGCAGGGAGAGCAGCAGCACAGCTTAATCGCCCCGTGACTGGCCGCCCGAGGGCGCCCAGCACCTGCACTTCCGGGACACGCTCCCGTCCTCCCCTCTCCCCAGGACACCTCTGCCCACACAGCTCCTGGCTTCCACCAAACCCACTGGACGGGGTAGGCCCAGATCTCCCAACGCTCCCCACCTCTCTGTGTGGGACTCATTCCTGAGCTAGCTTTCTGAAACCATCCAAAGGGGAGAGGGAGGGCCTTGTGCTTGTGCTCGCTGCCTGCCTTTGATCTCACACTGCCCTGGTGGGTCAAAGGCCCTTTCTCGCCCCTCTTCTTGCTTCCCAGGGAAGGGAGGGCATGAAGCGGAAAGGACACCGGGATGCTTGAGGGGAAGATGTAAAGATGGGAGGTCTCACCGACTCAAATGCTGCTGCCCAACCCTAAAGGGCTCCGGGCCTGGATCTAAGCCCAGGAAGCTCCTCTGGAGCTAAGCCTCCTCCAGGGGCTGCCCTGGTTCCCCCGCCCATGTCAGTGGGGCTCTGAGAGGATTTCCTCTTCTCTTGTCGGGAAACGCCCCCCCCCCCCCCCCACCACCAAGAGGCAGCAGTAACAAGACCAGGACCAGGAGAAGGAGCTAAGGGATAACATGACCATGCAGTAGAGGTATCCCAAGTCCGAGCTTGCTTCCCTTAGCAAAACCAAGAGGAAGTGCTCTGCCTCCCGAAGCACCTACTGCTGAATGACAGGGGCGGGCCCGGGCACCCAGGGAGCCCAGCCAGAGGACCAGGTGACAGGCTAGGGCTTCTGCCCGTTGCTGGGACCAGCAATGGTGCCCGAGTACAACCTGCAGAGAGAAGAGAGCCACAAAGAGAAGTGGAGAGATGAAGAGAAGGGGCAGGATGGTGCTCTCAGGGAATGCTGCTTTAGGGTTTTGTTGTTTGCTTTTCTGGTGGTGCTGGGCATTGAACTCAGGCCGGCACGCTGGCTCGGCAGGCAGTCTTTATCACTTGAGCCGCATCCTCGGCTGCGTGGTTGTTTCTGAGGTGCAGACCCCGGCTGGGGAATTCCTTCTTACGCTTCAGTCCTGTCTCTAGGGATGTCAAGTGTGCATCACTGTGCCCAGACACTCATGGAGATGGAGTCGCACAAACGTTTATGCCCAGGCTGGCCTACAACTGCATTCCCCGTGAATCTCTTGTCTCCCAAGTAGCTAGGATTACAGGCTTGAGCCACCCTACCCAGGTTTGAGTTTTAGACTTCTCTACTTCCTGTCCACTCCCTGCCCGCTTCCTGTCCACTCCCTGCCCACTTCCTGTCCACTCCCTGCCTCTTTCTCAGTAGACACTCGGGAAGATGGAGCAAGGTCAGAGACCAAGGCGGTGGACCGGGGCTTGGAACACAGACAGCATTCTCTGTACATCAACTTCGATTACAGTGAACCTGTAAGGGGCTGAGGCGGGGGCTCTAGCCAAGCAATGGGCTCAGCCAGGCACCCGCGGCTCATGTCTATAACCCCAGCTACTCCAGGAGACTGAGATTGGAAGACCACGGGTCAGAGCCAGCTGGAGCAGAGAAACCTGAGACTCTACTTGTGGCTCAAGTGCTTTAGCACCAGCTTTCTTCCACCTTTCCAATCCACTCCGCTCATCCCTGACCTCACCACAAGTCAAGAACGAGGAGGGCCTGAGCCTAGTCCTTGCTTAAGCGTTCTGGGCACACCCAGGAGGAGAGATCCCCAAAGGCCCCTCTTCCTGGGAACACTCTCGCCACTCCCACAGATGGGGGCTGCCTCGGCGCCCCACGCCGGGCTGGCCCCTCACTCTGGGTCCCCATCGGCTCACAGGCACAGGGGGAGCCGGCAAGGCTTTCCACGTGCACGGGGCAGCAACCCCGCCTGCGTGTTTTAGGTCACAGTGTCCACCAGGTGCTAGGCTCCGGCCCCGGCGTGCGGGGTGAGGCTGGCCCCGCGTAGGGGGTGCACCGAGGCCTACCTGCACGTTGTCCTCCGTCACTTCGATTTCCGCGGTGTAGATGTAGTCGATCAGCTTGCTGAGCGTCTGCCCATCCACATCCTTGATTTCCACCTTCTTGGCTTTACTCTCAGACATGTCGCCTGTGGGTCACCATGAAAACAACCAGGCCGTGAGTTTTGGCACCTAGGGTGTACCTCACTTCTTCTACGTGGCCTCCTGGCTGCAGAGAAGTGGGGAAGGGATTCACCCGTGGTCAGGGATCTACCAGCTGACCCCAGAGGCAGGCCCACATGGACCGAACAATCTTACACAGGGGACCAGCAGTAACCAAGCCCTGCACAGCCAGCGTTAGACACGCGCTGTCCCCCACCCGGGTCCAGACAGACAAGAGCGGCTAAAATATTTATAAAGGTGATCAGAATTCAGCAACGGTGTACTCAGAGCACCTCAGATACGAAGCTGCCACATGTGTAGGGCCCTAAGGACAGCCGAGGCTCACAACACTGGTGAGACTTAAGGATGCCATGCCCGTTACCCGGAGGGGACAGGGCATCCGTCCCTCTGTGGTCGGTCTCAGCTAGGAAGAGGACAGGGCCACAACCCTGGCCTGGAAATTGCTTCAAGGTATCGCAGAGGAGGCTCGTTTGGACTGGCTGGAAGAAGAGGTGCACAGGGCCCAACGGTGACAAAAGGGCAGGCTGGATGTGGGCTCCGTGGGTAGAAAGGGACTGCCAAGAGGAGGACAGGCAGGGTGGGCCAGGACGTACAGAACTACAATGGATGCACCTGAACTTGGACACCAGCGCATGGAGAGGCTCTCCACAGATGGGCATTTCTGAATGAAACTTGGGGTGCAGAGGGGAGACGGGCTGGGAGGCAGGGAGAGCGGTTGGGAAGCCCTGAGAAGCAAGGCAGCACTGGTGGAGGGCAGCGGGTGGCAGCACCCCACGGTCTCATGGTGCCAGGAACCCTGACCACAGACAGCGCCTGGCTGACCCACACAGCCGCAGCTTTCCGGAAAGACAAGATGCCCACACCTGTCTGCAAAGGGGTGAAACAGAGGACAACCCGATTGTGACAAGTGTGGTACCCAGGGCCCTTGCTGTGAGGGTAAAAACAAGAGCGTGGCGGGGGGGGGGGGGGGGGGCTGTGTTCTCTCTGTGGCACTCGTAAGCCAGAGCCAAGGGAATGCGGTACAGTACAGCGTGTGCGCTTACAAGATGCCCACCTCCACGCTGCGTGGATGGCACCAAGTTCCTCACCCATCCACCCTGACACTGTTCTCCATCTGAAAGGAATCTGAGATACAGAGGAAAGAGGGGTTGCTGTCTTCGCTGCCGGGGGTCAGGTGGATCAGGGAGTCTGGCCTCTCCCCTCTCTCCTCTGACAGCTGTGGACAGTGGGGTAGGAGGAAGAAATGGAGGAGAGATGGGGTTCTCTTCCTGCAATCTCCTCTTGCAGACACTGACACAAGGAAATCACACAGTAAACGCTGCTTCTCCAAGTAGCTATTAAAAAGTTCTCCAAGTGGCACCGGTGGCTCACGCCTGTCATTCTAGCTACTCAGGAGGCTGAGATCTGAGGGTTGCGGTTCAAAGCCAGCCGGGGCAGGAAAGTCCATGAGACTCTTATCTCCAATAAACCACCAGAAAACAGGAAGTGGCGCTGTGGCTCAAGTGGTAGAGTGCTCACCTTGAGCTGAAGAGCTGAGGGACAGCGCCCAGGCCCAGACCAAGCCAAAAAAAAAGTTCATTAGGGAAGGGCCAACTGAAAACATATTGCAAAAGGTAATCAAAGGTGGCTAGTTCTTCACTTCAGGTCTTGGGCCTTAGAAAATAAGACCAGAGAAAGAGCAACCAGACTGTCTATAAGGCTACAATTCCCCGGGCAAGAGCGACACTGCAACTGGCTGGCGACGTGGGATTCATGCCTGGGAGTCTGGTTGTGATCTTGTAATTTGGGGGTAAACAAACACAAACTCCTCACATTGTAGAAAAATATTTGTACCCATAATATTTCTACACATAAAAGTCTGGCTTTTCTGGGAAGATGCCATATTCTCTGTTATCAGATTCTTATCAGTTTCTGTAATCCTCAGAGATTATTAATACGGCTTTCTAGACAGAGAAACTTCCAGAGGCTTTTTTCTTGCTTCTCTGAATAACTCCAAAATCTCTCATCTTCTGCATTAAGTTCCTAAGGAACTTCAGTAAGGAAAAACACACTTGAAAGAAAAACCAAGTGGCACTGTTGCTTAAGTGGTAGAGTGCTAACCTTGATCACAAAGAGGCTCAGAGACAGCACCCAAGCCCAGAGTTCAAGTCCCAGAACTGACCAAAAAAAAAAAGGTATTCTGGGAAGGTGGCTCAGAGGTAGAGTGCTTGCCTTGCATGCATGAAGCCCTGGGTTCAATTCCTCAGTACCATATACACAGAAAAAGCCAGAAGTGGCACTGTGACTCACGTGGGAAACTCTAGCCTTGATCACAAAGAAACTCAGGGACCGTGCCCAAGCCTAGAGTTCAAGCCCCAGAACCGGGGGGAGTGGGGGGGGGGGGGGAGGTACTCTGGGCTGGGAATGTAGCTCAATGGTAGAGTGCTTGCCTAGCATGCATGAAGCCCGGGGTTCAATTCTTCCATACCACATAAATAGAAAAAGGAAAGTGACACTGTGGCTCAAGTGAGAGAGAGCTAGCCTTGAGCAAAAGAAGTCCAGGCCCAGAGTTCAAGTCCCATGACTGGGAAAATAAAAGAAGGAAAAGAAAAAGAAAAACCAAGGGCTCAAGAACAATTGTTTACATTATCCTGCCCATGTAATTGTAACCCCTCTGTACAGTATGTTCAAATAAAATAAAATTAAATTAAAAAAAAAAAAAGAACAATTGTTTAGGTTTGTTTTCAGTTGTAGGGTTTGAGGGACTTGAACTCAGGGCCTAGGTGCTGTCCCTGAGCTCTTCTGCTCAAGCACTCTACCACTTTGAGCCACAGCTCCACTTCTAGTTTTCTGGTTAACTGGAAATAAGAGTATCTCACAGCCTTTCCTGCCCAGGCTAGCTTTGAACCATGATCTTCAGATCTCATCCCCTCCAGTAACAAAGATGACAGGTGTGAGCCATGGCACCCACCCCACAATAGTTATTTTCTAAGAAAAATCTTCTCCTTGTAGTAAATGAGAGGCCTGGGTAGGTGTCTGAGACTTGTAGAATTCAGTCATGCTATTTCTTACACCAGTAGAAATGACTACTCCACCAAACAATGATGATGGCTTCAACAGTCCCTGGAAATAGAAAAAGTAACAGTCGCCTCTATGTACCGGGCTCACTGCTAAGGATTTCTACTCATTATTTCATTTAATCCTTGTGATAACTCCTCAGATAAGAATTGGCATTTCAAGAGCCGGGCACTAGAGTCCTACACCTCGTAATCCTAGCTATTCAGGGGGGGCTGAGATCTGAGGATCACAACACAAAGCCAGCGTGGGCAGAAAAGCTCACGAGACACTTACATCCAGCTAACTAGCAAAAAAGCACAACAAGAGGAAATAAATAGAGGCTTGGTGTGGAGCTGTGGCTGGACGAGGCCTCTCTGAGAGGGAGCCAACTCACAAGGTGAGAAGCAGCCCGTGGGACGAGGGCCAGGACACCTGGGCACCAGGCTGGACGGTCAGTATCCTCGGGGCCAGCACAGGGCCCCAGGGCAGCATGTGGAGGGAGGAGCACCTGACCAGCCTGGAGGCGTATGGCTCAGATGGCCTCCTCCATCAGCAGTGTACCTGGTGCAGGGGAGGTGCCACAGACAGGAAGCCCGGTCGTGGGCTTCCTGGAATCCGGCCAGACCCGGCATATGTGAGCGAGTGAGACGTCTTTCCTGGAGACTTGGCAAAGGGGCTCGATTGCAGCAGATCCTGAATATTCATCCTCTCCTCATCCTTCCCCCAAATCTTCCATCATCACAGCTCTGAATCTCCTCCTCCAGAAAGGCCAAGAGAAGGCCCTGCCCTTCAGCCAGAGGGGCCAAGGCATGAGCTTGATGGTCCAGCACCAGGCCAAGGTGCGTGGGCAAATCCATTTCCCTCTCTCGGCCTCAGTAGTTTCCCCAACTGCAAAGTGAGATGCCAGCAGGCTTGGCTGTGAGCCCAGTAACTTTCACGACCAGCAAGCTGCCCTTAAAGACTGTGGTGCACACTGGAACTGGAGAACTAAAGGACATTCACTCTACCTCCTGTTCCCCGTAGTTGAACAAGAGACGACGGGTCCTGCTGACCTGGCTGGGGGTCTGGTTCTAGCGAGTTCCCCATGCAACGTTGAGAACAGAGAGGCTCCTCCCGGTGGGTTCCAGAGCCTCAGTCTTCCCTCCCGAGACCCCCACACACACCCCCTCAATGTCTCCTCTGGTTCTATAGTTTCCATGCCTGCCACCGCTCTCCCCCCACCCCAGCATACCTGTGAACATGGCACAGAAGTAGGGGCTGCAGGCCGCCAGGACCACCCGGTGAGCTTCGATCTCCACGTCTTCTGCCACGATCATCACGTCACACAACAGCTGCTTGCTGTAAGATACCAGCCAGGGGACGGGGGTGGGTCACGCACAGCACGCACACCTGTCTCCTGTCAGACATGGGAGTCATTTTTCCTCCCACCCAGTTCTCAGAGTGGTTGCAGAGGCTTGCTCCAACCCTGTCTGTCAGGGGAGAGACTCAAGGATTCTTTTTTCCCCTCAGTCCCGGATAACCTCCCGTTCGTGCTTTCCTGAGGCACAAAGAAAAAAGCCGAGCTACTGCAACCATGAAGCAGCTTCCTTTGCCTTCATCTCTCTGCTCCCCAGTCCCGCTAGCGCTGAGAACCAGGGAGCAGAGGCAGGGCCTGGGGCTGTCAATCAAGCAGCTGCCAGAGTGCTGAGTGTCCAGGAGCAGGTTCGAGCCCTGAAGGTGTGCCGTAATAACCCAAAAGCGAGACAATCCGCAGAGACACTGTTGAAGGTGACAAAGGAGTTTTATTAGCTGGTCTGCAGCCCCGTCCTATGTTACCTCAGAACTAGGAGCAATTCCAACCTCCAAGGAGGCAGGGTTTTGTTCTTTTTTCCTTTTTCCTCCTTCCTACAAACCTCACCTGCCTACTCTCCACAGGCTTCTCTGCTTTCCAATGACCTCTTTGCCCCTCTGCCTCTCCACCTCTCCATGGGCCTCTCCGATCTCTGCAGGCCTCTCCACCTCTCCGAGGGCCTCTCCAATCTCTGCAGGCCTCTCCACCTCTCTGTGGGCCTCTGTGATCTCTGCAGGCCTCTGTGCAGGCCTCTCTACCTCTCCACCTCTCCGTGGGCCTCTCTGAGCTCTGCAGGCCTGTTGACTCCTTCACAGACCTCTCTACTCTTCACAGGCCTTTCCATAGGCCTCTCAGCCCTGTGCGGGCCTCTCCACCTGGATCTCTTTTCTGGCCCGGGTCTCCTCAGGCCTCTCTGCCGGCCCGGGGCCTCCCCTCTACTCAGTGCACCTCTTCCCATGTGTCTCATCTCCCCTTCTCCAACTCCTCCCCAGAAGCCCTGCCCCCCAGCCACCCTTTGATGGCCTGCCCCACCCCCAGCAGCCTGGTGGGCGTGGCCCGTGGTGACAACAGCATGGAGGCGGGACTTCCTGCCCCTCAGGTTTTCACAGTGCCAGCAGCCAGATGAGGAAGTGGCAGCTCTGCAAGGGCTCCACCACGGAGGCCAGCATGGGAGGGGAGGCCAGGGCCACTACGCCTGAACGCACAGGACTCCCAGAGGCCCGCCACCATCGGTAAGGAGGCCACGACCATCTGTCTCTGCTATGCTCAACTTGGGAAGGGCCTTGTCTCTTTCACACTGTAATCCTAGGTGCCTGACTGCATAACCAGCACACAGTAGGCCCTACACTTTGCTGAATGAATGAATGAATGAATGGAAGGGATCAAGTCACATCCCTGGGAGGGAAGGGAAATGTGAACAGCAAGCGTACAGCCTGGTGGGGTACCACAAGACCCTGTGGGTCTGCAAGGACTTCTTCCAAGTTCTTCTTAAAGTCTATTATGAATGTAACCGACAGCATTTCCTGAGTTACAAGTGTTGGGCGCTGTTCTAAGCACTTGTCTGTACATATGATTTCATTCCGTGTTATTATACCCAATGGCGTTACACCTCGTGGCTAGGTCCTGTGTTACAAATGAGGGAGTCGAGGCTCGCAGAAGTTAAGGAAGTTACCCCAAGTTCACACAGAAAGGGGCGACACGTGAAAGTAGAGACAGGAACGTGGCTTAGCCCCAGAGCCCCGTCTACAGCCTCTCCTCTAGACTGAAGCACCAAGGGCAGAAGGCAAAAGCAGGGGAGGCAAACACATCTCACTGGTGACTCACGGACTGTGGATCAGGGACATCTGAGGTCATGTCTGGGACAGATGGAAGAGAAGCCACACTGGCCAACTGAGGCTCAACTCAAGCCACTGTCAACTCCCAGCTTCCCTTAGAGACAGGGTCATAAAAGCTGCCCCTGCCTGAGCTGCAGATGCCCTTGGAGATTCTCTGGCCATAAAGTCCAGAGGAAGAAAAGGATGCCTGGGGCCACAGAGGCCTAGACCTTGAACCCAGGGCTCTCAGCTCTAGACACGGTGCTTCTCCCAGCACACCTCCTGCTGGCTGATGTGCAGAGTGGGCAGCTCCATCAAGGAGAGTGGCTCACGCAGAACACAGTCCCGGTGAAGAGGATGCTGGGAAGGGCAAGACCACGGGACACCAAGAAGAAAAACCTAGCGTTGGAAGGCTGAGACCTCACCCCCAGCAGGCAAAGTTGACCTCACATGCTCACACGACTGCACTAAACTACAGGACAAATAAGACAGTGTGGTCACCCAGCATACACATCACAGGGACCAAGTGTGGTGGTGTGGTCACAGAACCCAGGGAGGTTCCTCAATGTGGTCAGAATTTACTAGAGGAAGAAAAAATGTATTCCCTATACATAACTAGAAAAGAAGGAGGGAAGGAGATGGAAGGAAAAGAAAAGTGAGAGGAAGAATACAAGGAAGGAAAAGAGGAAGGGTAAGAACCATAAAAAAAGCACAGAACAGGGGCTGGGAAGGTGACTCAGTGGTAGAGCACTTGCCTTGCATGCCTGAGGCCCTGGGTTCGATTCCTCAGCACCACATAAGCAAAAAGAAAAAAGCCAGAAGTGGCGCTGTGGCTCAAGTGGTAAAGCACTAGCCTTGAGCCAAAGAGCTGAGGGACAGCGCCCAGGCCCAGAGTCCAGGCCCCACAACCGGACCCAAAAAAAAGCACAGAACACAGAGACAGCAAAAAAACAGAACTGGGAACCCACAAGTAAGCCCTCACATGGACAACTGGTTTTTCATAAGTGTGTCAAGATCATTCAACTACAAAAGGCAAGTCTTTTCAAGAAATGGTACTGGGACAGCTGGATACAGCATGCAAATGAACTGAGTTGCACCTCTGCCTCTTACCATACATAAAAATTCACTCCACAGGAATCAAAGACCTAGGGGAAACATGAAATGCTCATGACTTCAGACAAAGCAGCAGTTTCTTAGCTATGATGCTAAAAGCACAAACAACAAAAGAAAACATGATAAATGAGACAAATTGAAAACATTTGCACTTCAAGGGACAATCTCAGGAAAGTGAGAAGCCAATCTATAGAATGTGAAAAAAAAGAATTGTAAATCATCTATATTAAAATGGGCTTATACCTAGAATATAAGGTGAACTCAATTGCTTACAAGTTCAATAATAAGGAGAAAACTAAGGCAGCTCATATCTGTAATTCTAGAAGGTGGAAATCAGGAGAATTATGGCTTTGAAAGCAAAGAGGGCACAAGACTCCATCTCAAATAATAATAATAATAACAATAATAATAATAAAGAAGCTGGGCATACTAGAGTCCATCTGTCATCCCACCTGCAGAGGAAAGATGGTCCAGACCAGCCTGCTCAGATGTTGGACTCTATTAGAAAAATAACTAAAGCAAAAAAGGACAGAGGCAAGGCTCAAGTAATAAAATGCCTGTCTAGCAAGCACAAGGTCCTGAGTTTAAACCCCAGGACTGCCCAAATCAGATAAAGAGAGAGGACTCCACTTTTTTTTTTAAAAAGTAGGCTAGGGATCTGAACAGACATTTCTCTAAATAAGATATGGAAACTGCAACCAATGATCAGAGGAAATGACATTAAGCACCATTCGTCTCTAGGGAAATGCACATCAAAGCCACTATAATGTATCTCCTCCCAGTTGGGACAGCTGTGATCAAACACAGGGGTGGCAAGTTGTTAGGGGAGAACTGGAGAGCACGGAATCGCCATCCATTGCTCCAGGGAAGAGTCTGGTAGGCTGTTCCTCCAGAGGTTCGTCATGGAGTCGTCATACAATCCAGCAATCCAAGAGAAAGAAAAACAAGCCTTCACACAGAAATCTGCACGTAGATGTGTCCAGAGCATTGTTCATCAGTGCTACAGGCCAGACGGGACAAGAGAGGTCATGAGGTCATAATAGAGAGCTAGCATGTGCTAGGTCCTGGGTTTGACTGTCAAGATGGGTGGGACAGACTATGGGCTCCAAATACTCATTGGATAATAGTTGCTCTGTTCCCCTGCTTGCTTCATCTCAGGCCTGGGCCAGGGGTACTAGCCCAGGAAGGACCACGCCCCCACTGCCCACTAGATGCTAAGTCAGGAGCCAAGGACACGGTAGGGATTCTTCTACCCAGAAGCTCCATGGTCTGGCCAGAGAGTGGGGCAGGGAAGTACAAAAGGAACGGGAAGGCTGGGCGGTTACCATGCCAACGGCCCATTCCCTACCCTGGAAGAATAGGAAAGTCGGGGATTGTGTGATTCATAAATTACAAAGAACATGTGTGCTTAAACTAAAATAGCTTAAAAATTGAGAGAGGGGAAGGCGAAGACAATACAGGAGAAAGCCCTGGGTCCCCGGAATATCATGTGGCATTTCAGTGGCGTAATCCTGACAGCAAAAGGCTTTTAGACCGTCCCTTCATCAAAAACCGATTATGCCTGTCTCTCCCTGAAAGTCTCCCAGATCAAGAAGCCTGTCAATCCAGGCCCTTTCTCTCTGCCTGACCTATTGTGCTTCTGTTTCCAGAAATTGGCCGGCTGGCTGCCATAGGCTCACACCTGTAATCCTAGCTGCTCAGCAGACTGAGATCTGAAGATCCCACATCTAAACCAACCCAACCCAGGCAGAAAGGTCTGTGAGATTCTAATCACCAATTAACCAGCAAAAAGCTTGGAAGTGGAGCTGTGGTCCAAGTGGTAGAGTATAGCCTTGACATAAAAAGTTAAGGGAGAGCATGAGAACCTGAATTCAAGCCCTAATACCAAAGTGCACACACGCATGCGTGAGCACACACACACACACTTTCATTTGTAAAGAGTTTACTTTCTCCCTCAACAAACACTTACTTCATCACGGCCCCTCACGAGTTAGTTCTTAGGAAGGAAGGATTCTCCAAAGTTCAGGGGACATACTTGCTTCAGGCAGTGACCTTTAGGAAACACACCTGTCAGGTGCACGGTACCCTTAGGGAGCTTGGGGGGGGGGGGGGGGGAGGAGAGAGTGAGTGAGTAAACAGGTCCAGAGCCAAGAATGCCATAAGCCCACAGCACAGGCGAAGGAAGCTTCTGCCTTCTGGTGAGGCGGTGTCCACAAGGGTTTGTACACAAACAGAAAGCATGGGTGCCTAAACACATCTTCAACAAGTTTGTCACACATGCACGCTGGCTCGCAGACAGTCTGCGGACTCTCACCACCGGGTTCAGGAAACACGAGAGCACGTTTGCGTTTCATTTCTTCAACAGAGAAAGAAATGGAAGTGCATAGCTGGACCCTGGTGGCTCACATCTGTCATCCTAGCTATTCAGGAGGCTGAAATCTGAGGATCACAGTTCAGAGGCAGCCCGGGCAGGAAAGTCCGTGAGACTCTTATCTCCAATGAACCACCAGAAAACCAGAAGTAACACTGTGGCTCAAGTTGTAGAACACTCATCTTGAGCTGAAGAATTGAGGGACAGCGCCCAGGCCCAGAGTTCAAGCCCCATGACCAACAACAACAACAAAAAAAAGAAATGGAACTTCATTTCAAGGGTGAGGAAGCCTTCTATTGGAGTGGACGTACTGCCACAGCAGGCTCAGCCCAAGGAATAAGAGAGCCAGGCCAAACAAAACTAGCATGTTCAATTGTTCATCTGCGTGCGTGTGCGCGCGTGTGTGCGTGTGTGTGCATGTGTGTGCGTGTGCGTGTGTGTGCCCACGCGTGTAGGTGTTGCAATCATTCCATTCTCAGTTTCCAAGCTTTGGTTAGAAATCAAGCTTATGAACAGACCTGCTGTAACCACAAAGGAATTTTCCTCTGTGATTAATCACTGAAATGCTAGGTGTGAAATAAACACCCAGCACCCAGGGAAGAGCGCGCTGGCTGGCAAAGCCACCCTGTCTCAGGATGTGAAAGCGGAAGCCCAAGAGTGGGCGGGGAGAGCCAGGATTCATCGGTGGTGGCGTTCTGATCTGCTCCCACTCCCTGAGGAAACTCAACCCTGCCAAGTTCCCTGGGGGAAAGAGCACAGGCAAAGACAGGAAGAGTACCTCCGCAGTTCGTTCATAGCCTTGAAGGCCTTCCCCATGTGGGCAGGGTTGACAGTGACGGTTCTCTGGTTCTTCTCGTCGTCCTGGGCCTGCGCTGGTGGCTGGGAGCTTGGCTTGATGCTGCAGGAAGGAAGGAAGAGCAGGGAGAGAGATCACACATGGGTAAAGTTAGCCATCCGTACTTCTACCCACCCACGGGAGGCATCTGGGAGGCCGGCCCCCTCGCCACAAACTGGCAGGGAAGGAGACGCACTGGCTGGCACAGCGGACCTGCGGACCTTCTGATGGCACGTGCACTCCATTCTGTAAGTGGAACTTGTTCCATCAAGGGCTGTGTGACTTTGTGGGGGCCTTATCCTCAAAAGGAAGGGGGACGGAGTACTCTATCACCTCCTCACTGCATGGTTAATGGGCTCTGATAGGGGCCAGATACTGTATGTAAATACAAGAGAAACATGAGAAACATAAAGCTTACAGCTCACAGGGGCTGGGAAGATGGCTCAGTGGTAGAGCGCTTGCCTTGCATGCCTGAGGCCCTGGGTTCGATTCCTCAGCACCACATAAGCAAAAAGGAAAAAAGCCGGAAGTGGCGCTATGGCTCAAGTGGTAGAGCGCTAGCCTTGAGCTGAAGAGCTGAGGGAGAGCGTACAGGCCCAGAGTTCAGGCCCCACGACCGGACCCAAAAACAAAAACAAAAACAGCTCACCTAGCACTGATGGCTCACGCCTGACATCCTAGCTACTCAGGAGGTTGAGATCTGACAATCATGGTTCAGAGCCAGACTGGGTAGGAAAGTCCATAAGTCTCTTATCTCCAATTAGCCACCAGAAAACCAGAAATGGTGCTGTGCCTCAAGAGAGCGCTCACCTTGAGCTGAAGAGCTCAGGAACAGCGCCCAGGCCCAGAGTTCAAGCCCCACAACCGGCAAAACATAAAAATAAAAAGCTTAGAACTCACTGGATGAGAAGGTCAAGTAAACTTTCAAACATCACATCTTAATTATTGTGACCCAACAAGGTCAAAATGAAACCCCCTTGTCCAGCCCATCAGTGCTGTTTGTATGTGTGTGCGCATGTGCGTGCACGTGCCAGTGTTGAGGCTTGAATGCAGGGCACTGGGCACTGTCCCTGAGCTTGTTTGCTCAAGGCTAATGTGCTACCATTTGAGTCACAGCTCCATTTCTGGCTTTGTAAAGGCGGTTAGTTGGAGATAAAAATGTCTCGTGGACTTTCCTCCCTGAGCTAGATTTGAACCATGATCCTCAGATCTCACCCTCCTGAGTAGCTAGAATTTTTACAGGGGTGAGCCACTTAGCTTTGATCATGGCAAGCATAGAAGCTAGAGTTCTGGGTGATGGAAAACTATCCCAGTGATGCCAGCCAGGGTCAGGTGAAACTTGCCCGAAGCAGAAATCCAAAGGGAAAGCCAGGTAAAAAAGGCAACTGGGGAGCACTCCAGGCAGGGGAAATGCACAGAGACCTGGAGAGAAAAGGAGCAGTGTGTTCAATGCCTGGCCATTGAGTAAAACTCAAGGAGAACGCAAGAGGGGAGTCTCAGAAGGAAAACCGCAGAGTTTGGGTGTCTCCCTGAAAGCCAAGCAAGCCATCAAAGTTGGCTTTACGCTGAGCACTGGGCCAGGAGGCAGGTGGGCAATCTGTGCCTCACGGAGAACAGTGAGGCTGAGGGAAGGCCGCTAGGAAGCCATGATTCCACGGGAAGACCAGATGGCAGTCATTAGGAGAAGAGGCTGGCGGAGCGGGCTAGGTGATGACCCACAGAGGTCACGTGCAATCTTAGCTCTCCACCCTAAAACCCAGACGCAAAGCAATGCCAAATCCCCATGGAGATCTGAGCCACACAGCTCCCAACCACTCCTGAACGTGCCGCAAGGCAGAGGGGGTTAGGAAGGACGATTCCCCAAATTGGTTAGGGGGAAAAAGAAAAAGGTCATCCAGCTCCAAGGTCAAGTCTGAGACCATGGAAAAACCTCTGCTTGGATGAGGCTCAGCTTTCTTTTGCTAGTTGGAAAATGGAACCCTCTCCCCTGATGTGGATTTGGGGACTCACAATCTAATCCAACTCTAGGACATGGAAAGTAGTCTCCTTTGGCTTTCCCTACCAGGCATGGTCCATGCTTCTGGCTAGCCTTGCCAACTGGCGCGGGCTGATACAGTTAAGATATGGCCTGAGACGCTCCACCGATCTCACGCTGAGATCCATCACTAGTGGAATACGCAATATGAAGTTCATGTCAGACCCACAGTTTGTCTGAGCATAACAGACTCCTTCCTGCCTTCAGCCTAGCAGATCAATGTAAAGCCACGGGCATCTGAGACTAAGGTCTAGGAACAGGAAAGTCAGCTAAGTAAAGGACAATCAATATCAAGGAACACACAATGGAAGACCATTTAGAGTTATGTGTTAAAAAAGGCAAAAAAAAAATCTCAAGGCAGAAAACGTGACCAGAGAAAGCACTCAGTAACAATGAAACATTTCATATCAGAAATATACAGGCAGCCGGGCACCAGTCATCCTAGCTACTCAGGAGGCTAAGATCTGAGGATCATGGTTCAAAGCCAGCCTGGGCAGGAAAGTCCATGAGACTCTTATCTCCAGTGAACCACCAAGAAAACCAGAAGTGGCACTGTGGCTCAAGTGGTAGAGAGCTTGCCTTGAGCTGAAAAGCTCAGGGACAGCGCCTAGGCCCAGAGTTCAAGCACCAAGACCAACAACAACAAAAAAAAGAAATCCACAGGGCTAGGAATATGGCTCAGTAGTAGAGTGCTCACCTAGCATGCATGAAGCCCTAGGTTCGATTTCTTAGTACCACATACACAGAAAAAAAAAGCCAGAGGTGGTGCTGTGGCTCAAGTGGTAGAGCGCTAGCCTTCAGCACAGAAAGGCTCGGAACAGTGGCCAGGCTCTGAGTTCAAGCCTTAGAACCAGCCAAAAAAAAACAAAAAAGAAAAACACAAAAAAAGAAATCCACAAGTACAATAATTTCTTGGTATTCCCTTTCCTTACTCCATAGTCAATAAGATATTAATTTCTACTCTCCAGTAACAGTTCAATAGTTTCATTTTTGATATTTGAGCCCTTATTTTTGACATTGATTTTTTTTTTTTTGCTTGAAATAGCCCTTGTTTTCTGGTCATAGCTTTGATATTAAAGATAGTTCTAACACTGCCCCTTGTGTATATTTGTTACAGGGTTTTTACAGATGCTGTTTACCAAGCTAAGGAAATTCCCTTCTGTTTTTATTGAGTTTTTTATCATAAAGATATACTGGACTTTATCAAATAGGTTTGTATGCCTAATGATTAGGGTTCTTTTCCTTTAATCTTGTAGTGTGATAAATTACATAAGAATAATAAATGATATCTAAAATATAAATACTGTAATGCATAATATAACAATAAATATTACAATAAATTATAGTGTATTATGTATTTATATTTTGTTATATATACCATACAATATATAATATACATGTTATATAATAATATAAATAATAAATATAATAATGCAAACATACTTGAACTACTGGGATAAACCTAGAAACTATAAAATGCTGCACAAATAGTCATTATAAATACTGCCTTCAGACTATGGAAATACTTAGAAACCAAAAGGAGATATAACTGGCAATGAATCAAAGAGCCACTGAAGGTTTGGGGTGGGGGAACCGATGGGAAGTGCTGACAAGGATCTCTAGTATGCCTAATGGGCAGGAAATCTCGCTCTTCCTGTTGCGTTGCTCTTTGCACTTTCCAGCAAGTCTGATGATAATACATGCCCCTGTGAATACCATGCCCTGTTTACTACAAGGTCTCAGGCATGGACTGCCTATCATTGGAGGGTTAAAGTCCCACTAGAGCCTCCCTGAAGCAGTGCTTGATGGTGAACACAGGCCGGCTTGAGAAGGACATAGGTCTCCCAGAGTTCTTCCCGTCCTTTATGTGGAGACAAGTCGTGATGTCTTAGGAGAAACCCCTGCTCTGCAACTCAGTACTTGGCCTCTGGTTTCTGAAAGCCACACGTTTGACAGTTCACTAAACTTGCAGAGAACAAGACATTAAACAGAGTGTCAGGCTCAGGACAGTCAGACTCTCAGGCAAGAGCCCACAAGTAATGAGGAGAAAGACGGGACCTGAGCTCCAATGTCCTCCGGCTCTTCCCCACACAGTCCACCCTCACATGCATGCAGGTGATACACGCTCTACACACACATTCCTCAGTCAAGGGTCAAGTGCCCCCAGAGGAAGAGCTGCCAAATTCCCTCGGTTCCTCCCCCCTATTCAGCAGTCCTTAACTACTTAGTTCCCAATAACCAAGTGCTCAGTCTCAGTTCTTGATCCCAAGTAAGTCTGGGGGATCTCCTCCCTCTACTTGTCTCTCTCTCTCTCTCTCTCTCAATCTCTCTCTCTCTCTCCGTCACACACACACACACACACACACACACCAGGCTTCAGGAATCTCCATCCAACCAAACTGAGATGATTCAGTCTTCAAGGTTTCACAATCTGGCAAGAGGGGACACAGCCTTTTAACGAACCTGCCTAGCCCATGCTAGAGTCTATCTGCTGGACAAAGAAGCCTTCATGGGCACTCCAGCATCCAGAGCTCAAAAACATTCAAGTTGGGCCATGGGAAAACTCCAAGAGGGTCACAAAGACCGGGGTGCTGAGGAAGTACAAGTCCTTCTTTCCTATAGGAACCTGCAGCTATGAATAAGACTCACACTATCTATTAAACTAGTCCGCTTGGTGAAAGGTGGTGTGAACACTCTTAAGTTCTCACACAGTCTGGCTGCTCGTCAGTATAGTTGTGTAACACACACTGCAGTGTGGTGAGTCCACAGAAGCGAATGACACCAACAAGCCACCAACAGCCCACAGACAGAATGTTGGAAGTTGGCTCAGACATACTTCGTGTTCTCCCAGCTGCCCACTGGATCCCACGCAGGCCATGTGTATGGGATGGTCAAGATTCCTAGGAAACAAGGGGAGACACAGCCTCGCCCCTCCTTCTCGGTCTTTTGACTTTTCTTTTTCCCTATTTAGATCGTTGCAAGGGCCTCCAGCCTCCCATCTGGCCTTCCGGATGCCGCACCTCCAAGT